CTCCCCCCCCCCCCCCCCTCTCTCTCAAGATCGGGTATGCGATGGCGCACTCCAAACAAACTGAGCACATAGCGCACAGGCAGACATGGTTTGACCCCGCCGATCACTTATCTGCAAGTTCTGCAACAAGGCCATAACGCACGACACATGCGGCTGGACAGTTGTCAGATGGAGAGGGCCCCACGACAATAAAATATAAAGGAAAAAAAAAGAGCGATGCGTGTGGTGTGCGTTGAGCGTGGACACTGGGCACTACAGCCTTGCAGAGGTGGGGCGGGTATCACGGCCGGTATGGTTTCGCTTTTGAACACCGTGTCCTGGCTGTAGTGGTTACGATACTTGACTCTTGAGGCCGAGGTCATCGGTTCGAGTTTGTGCTTGCACGGAGGAGGGATGAGGCCCAGAGACACTGATCCAATGACATGGGCCGATGAGGATTTTCAATTAATGGGAAAAAGGTGAAAATTCATTCCGTTCAGACCACATTGTGTTTGTCGTGGTCTTCAACCATCCCCCACCCCGTCCCCGTGTCCCGTTTGGGGGGTAGATGCCGATTGTCCCGCCAACGAATTAGATAGCATGGCAAAACATTGCAGCAGTGTGTTGTTCCCGTCGGCCATGGTCTTGTTGATTCCGGACATGGCTTCAATGAAACTTCCAGAAAGCTTATCGGTCTGTCTTTCGGTGGCATCGACGAGAGTGTGAGCGACGTCTGTAAATGTGCCTCCCCTCCCTCCCTCCACAGAACTTTTGGGCGCTGAACGTCTTGAGTGCCCTCTACCCTTAGGACTTCGTGCAAATTTCGCTCGGTCTCCAATGTCGTTGTCTGCTTTCCGACGAGCAGCACCGGTTTTGTCTCTACCGCCCATGTCGTCGTCATCCTTGTCTGTGTTCGGCGGCCCTCCTTGCAGATTCACACTCTGCATCAACCCATCTGTCTGCTTTCGCCAACTTCCATTAAAGTGCTTTATAGAGCTCACGTTCGAACGTCAACGGAAGTTCTGCGTCCCTTCGCACATCTCGTGTCGTGGTCCAGTAAGAAGGCGCGCCAGACTTATTTTCGAAATCACGGATCTTCTTCGCACTATCAGGGAGCCCGTAGAACTTCCTCTCGCATTCGTCCACAGTGCGCTTGCCGAATCCATTCTCGATAAGGTTCTTTACAATCCACTCATATTTTTCTTCCTGCTTTTCATATGTTGCCTGCCTACAAGTTTTCTCTTTTGTTGCATGCTGTCTTCTTCAAAAAGCAGTCCGAGCAGTGCGATGCTCTCAGTTGAACCCCAATCAGCACCTCAGACTTTGCCCTTCCCCACATTATTTCTGCCACGCCCCCCCATGCCCTTTTGCCCTAAGGCTTCTTCTTCATATCTCCACCCGCCACATCATCCATCCTGCCATCGTCTGTGAGGTCGATTGTCACACGGCCTGTGCTTTGTGTACGAGGTATGTTGGCAGATGCACCTGCCCACGTCTCGCCCATTCCACCATAGTGTTTGTCCATATCCTAACCGACATTGGCAAGCAGTCAAGAAGGCTCATCGCTACTGATTTCTGATGATGACGACCATCATGAGTGCTGAATGCAACATCCGAAGGCATGGACTGGGCCGCACTTGCAACCATGGTTGCAGGAGGCGCTCTTGCATACTAATTCATGGATGTACCTCCACCCACCCCCTCATGCTTGTTCGGTGCAGCGCCAACAACGTTGTATGTGTTGGCGATGCTGGCACGACGATCGGCGTTGGACATGCACACAACCAGGCTCCATACCTCAGAAATGAAGCGTCGACACGAGGCAATTCAAGGCAGCAGTGCGACCCCACCAATCACACGGGACTTTGATAGCGACGTGAACAAAGTGGGGATCTTCGTGTGTGTAACAAAGGAGGTGCTTTGTGGTACAGCTGCGACAAGTCTGCCACCACATCGTTGAACAACCATATGCACACAAGTATAGCACGAGATTGCAGTTGGAGGCCCATAAGGTGGTATTCCGTCGAGAGTTGCGGAAGTGTGTTGCTGCAGCAAACCTCTGGTTGGCCTGTGAGACCAGTCCCTTGGCCTATTCTCACAGGCCTGTGTTGTATTCGGGGTAGTCCAGTCTAGGCCGGTACCTCTGTCAGTATCAGCCAGCTACGTGGTGCCCTGGGCCGCGGATCTTGCGGCCCAGTCCGAGCCGCTGGGCTTAGGCCTCGCGGCTGAGTTCCCGCACAGCCGCGCCACGGGCCAGTGGGGGCGCGTGCGGGAAATCGGCGCGCGGCCTCGGCCTGCGCACGTCCTTCTCTAGAGGACTGCGCATTCAAAAACAATTTATTTATTTTTGGGAGGGGGGGGGATTTTTGATGAGTGAGAAAATTAATTAAAAAAACAGAAGAAAAAAAAAATTCGTTGATTGATTGATTGATTGGTTGATTGATTGATTGATTGATTGATTAAATGATTGATGATTGATTGATAGATTGATTGATTGATTGATTGTTCGATTGATTTTTTTTTTTTGATCGATTGATTGATTGATTGATTGATTGATTGAT